ACATTGAGACATTTCATGTTAATGTATGTATGTATTACTAGCAAGTGTTACCCCCTTGAAGTGTTCTATCATTTCATCATCTTTTTTGGTTAACTTTTTGCACAAGTTTTGAACACTTCAATGGAGTAATGATCCAACTGTAAAGTCAAATTCTCCTTGCCTAGATTTTTCAATTACCCAATGGTAAAAACGAGTTTGCACCAATGTAAACAATTTCTCCTCATTGATACCTTTGAATATCTGTTCATTTTTGTACAGCCATATGGTCCATACAACAGCAAACCATATAGCCTCCCACACCCTGCTACCTTTCTTTATTCTGTTGATCCAAATTTGTTGCTGAAAAGCCTCTTCTAAGTTTCGATGCATGACATAGGATACCCTACCATCTGAAGCATTTTGTCCATATATAGCTTCCAAGCAACAATGCAATTTAGTAACAAATGTTCCACATTCTCAATACAAGAGCCACATAGATTGCAAATTGCCTAAGAATCCTCCTTCAATATCCCTCTAGTTAGCAGATTGTCTTTAGTTGGGATTCATTTATGTAACGCCTACCACATAAAAGTGCAAACCTTTCTAGGCACCGAAGGATTCCAGCATTTTTTCCAAGCTACACGAAGCCAACCACTACAAAGTTCATGCCTTTAACCGGTTAATTTTCCAAGGCAACTTGCTTCACTAGTCTTATGATATTTGAGATTCCCATACTTGAGTTCATTATTGTTTTATATATCAATTTAGCTACTACCTGCACTTACATCACATTGATTAATAAATTATAGAGAAACTTTCAATTATAAAAATTAAACTGCTATCTTTGAAAAACTTGTTACCGATATTGAGTTAATTTGAAATTTGACATATATAGTATTTATGAATAGATGCCATATCCAAAATTAATTAAATTGATGTACAGTTGGTCTATAGAAATTTAAAAGACAAAATAGAGAAAAAAAAAAAACAAAGTACACTAGCTGTAATTTCATCAAATACATGAGGGGCATAGAGTAGCACACACGTACATAAACGCATGTATATGGATGAATTGTTTTGTAAAATCAAAGAGTTATTGAGTTGAAATCATAAGGCCAGGAGATTGGAAATGAATATCATCTCTTAGTTCTATATAACCCAGATCGTAAATTTATAAATGGAAAAAAAAAAAACACTTTTATATAGTCATATGTAGGCATATATGCAACTCACCTCATGGCCTCAAAATTTCTTGATCATCTCAAAGAGAAAACCCATAAAGTAAACAACTGCAAATCTTCCTCTTAATGGTTTTATGTGCTCTCCAAATAAATTTAAGAGGATTGATAACATGTTTGTGTTAGATGATTTGCGTAATGGTACATACAGGCAAGAACATAAGTTTCCTCATAGTATTCGGGAATCAAGTTTAAGCATCTCCTCCACTGAACTATAGCATTGGAACATCCTAGTATTTAGCATAACTAGTGCTGTAGAGTCTGTCTTGGTGGAACCCTTGCACATTTTCTCCATGTAAAGACAGCTCCTGAAGAAGATTACTCTAGTAATAACATCATTTATGGTCTATCAACAGAGACAACATAAAGTTAGAAAAAGAATATAATCATGCAAAACTTTCATTTCGACAAGTTTCAAAAACTTCCGATATAGAATAAAATTGAGTACTAAATATATCAGGAAGAAATACATGACAAGAAACTAAGGATAGTGACAGATTCACCCTGTCCTCCTACACACTTCGTTACACTCTTCGTTTTCTGTTACTTTCGTTAATTACACCATTATCCAGTCAGCCCTTTCTTTCTCTCTCCTTTTTCCTTCTTGCTGTTCATAATCCTCACCAGCCAGATCCATCTTCCTCCTCACCTCTATCCTCATTCATAATCAACCAAACAACACACCATATTATCAAATTTGTAGAAATTCTAACCAAACTTTATAAAAATTCATTATCTTCTTCCTCTTTCCTTCCTCTTTTTTGTCTCTCTCCTTCGTCATCCTCTTCCAAGAGAACCCATGGGTTCTCATGGGGAACCCAGATCGGGTTCTCTTGGAAAACCCAGATGTGGGTTCTCCTTCAAATAGATTGGGGGGGGGGGAAGAGAAGGAAGAAGGGGGGAGGAGAAGGAAAGAAGAAGAAAAAGAAAGGAGGAGGAAAAAGAAGGAAGGTTGAAAACCAAAGAACATGAAATTATAGATTGGATGGGTTAGATGTTTTTGGGTGTTAACGAAACGGAAAGTAATAGAGTGAGTGTGTGTCATAAAATGTGTAACGGATGAGTGTGCACCTAGCATTTTCCAGAAACTAAAATCTTACCACATTGAGGCTAGACTTGATTTGGTTAATGTCATCAAGAGAGAATGTTTTTGTCGAGATGGTAATTGGCAAAAATTCAACTCCATCATTACCAGACCATATAGGTGATATATCATCCTTTATGAAAGTACTCCTTAGTACACTCCCAAAAATATCTGATAGAATACTCAAGGTCATTGACAAAAATTTAAGCATAGTACGAAGCATATTTTTCCTTTGATTCTCAATACTGGTTTTTGTATTTAGTCTAATAACAGGAAGTATAAGAGGAAGAGAAGGGTTATTGGCTCTTTTAAGATAAGAAAAAAGAGCCCCCATCAAGGAGAAGCCATCACAAAGTGAATGATAAAACTTGAAAATCCAATTACCGATTGTATTGCTTGTGGATTACTTAAACATATGAATTTCTCACAAGGGACGGCTCTGAGGAAACGATTCCAATGCTATTTCTAATATGTAGTTGTTGAGTTGCTCATCATAAAGATTTGGTGTGAATCCAGTAGGGAAGACAAGACTTTAACATGTTCTTCTGGGTTACTTTAACCCTCTTTAAGCCCTTTTCTCTATTTTTCCCTGTAACCTACAAGTTTACAAGTTTATTGGTTTCATTGTTTTAGGACAAATACCAATCTGTGTAGAATTGAGCTGATAATCATGTTAAAAAAGTAAAAGTTTATAACGCAAATTTGTTTTGAAAAAAGAAAAGTAGAGAAAAAAAAAAAAAAACAAAGTACCATGATGGAAGAGAAACGAGGTCTAATGGGTAGGGAAAGGTTTTGGAGTTGAGACATAGCTTAAGAGTCATCAATTGGCTCTTTTGCTTCCTAATCATTGATAACAGATATAGATAATACTGAGCTGTTGAAATATTGCTTGGTAGGATTCACTAGCTCTAATACTAGTTGTTGGTCCATTTCCATTTTTTATTGGAGTTTGTGCAGGGCCTAAATCTAACTAAAACTAACCTAGTTTATCCATTTTCTTCATAAGCAACCATCAATAATTCTAATACCTTCTCTGATCTTTTAAGAGGTGGTTTGTGCAATTGGCAGGAACATATCCCATTATGATTATTGATGATTTGATAGGTTGTTTTAGAAGAATGCTTCAACCTCTACATCAAATTAAATTGCAGGACAAAGTATGATGCATCTAGGAAATTATTTTTGTAAATTATTAAGATAGTGAACCATGATTCTCAAATGAAGGTGCAATTTGTATTTAAAGTGGGGGGAGGGGCCGAGGGGTGAAAGTGTTTGGGATTCATTTTCCTAGTTGTGGGGTGATCATGTGAGAGTTATGGATGTAGGGAAACAATGTAATCTTTTGAAGAGTGTAGATGACAAAGAATTATTTGATGGAATCACTTTATTGCGATCATATCTATGGCTCAAAAGGCAAAATTTTGATGATTGCACTTCTCATTCAAGGCTTGATATGATAGATTTAGAAATGTAAGTGAAATCCATAGTATATTGAAGCTAGAGAGATGTTTAAACAAATGGCTTGAAGTGTAAGTGGTGCATTTTATGTTTTGCTTGTATGTGTGTGTGGGGCTGTTAGTTATATTTTTGATTCCCCAATGTGAACATTTACTTGTTATTTGTAAGCATTAGAGTACTTTTAAAAAAATATTATATATTTTTTCACTTATATCATGGTTATTACCTAATATAGTTAAAGAAGAGTTGAGACATTATCTGATCCAAAATCTTCAATTACTGTCCACATACTTATCATCTTAGTATTTACTATCCTAGGCCTTGTCTTTTTTTTCTTCTTCTTCTTATATCTAGCAAGTGGACAAATAGGCTGTTGTGTGACAACCATTTTAAGTAGCCAAAGGTCATATTATAATAAGTTCAACAACCTTTACTTATGGCGTCTTTTATAACTATGCATGGCTACTTGGCAAGTTGAGTTCCCAACTCTGATTTTTCATATTATAATTAAACTATCATGAATTATGTATGAATTTTGCTACTGTGTTGTCTATAAGACCAACACATCAATTTATTCTACTTTGATGGTCAATTTTTTTACAGCTACTTATAGTTGCTACAATTAAGTCCTCATAAATGAAATATGAGCACATTCATCTAGTTAGCATAACTAAGGGCTGTTATAAAACTTTCTTCGCAACTTACGAGTTGAGCAACGATATGAACTATGTACCCCAAAGTACCTTTTTCCTTTCGATTTATTTATTGCTTTCAAAACAAATTGAAGGGATATAATTGAGATCTAAAGAGCTTATTCCCATAACAACATAGTTTATCATCTGTTAATTGGATAAATAGTATATTCAAATTAGAGAAAAACTAGAGTAAAATAGACAAAATTTGGCAATAGATTACAATGACATTGACATGCAAGTTTTGATCTCATTAAGACTTGTCACTTGTCATCTCTCATATATATCTATTAAATTTAATTTCAGTAGTGGATTAAAATAGCTTGTAGCATTAACAATGCTTTCAAATTGGCTAATAAACCATAACAACCGTATAGAGAAAAAAGGTTCACATTTGGCATTGCCTTTGCCTTTGCCCTTCCAAAGTTATTATCTATTATACCCTAAAACAAGTCCTATGATAATTAGGACACGTGGAGGCATTCTAGAGATAATCCTATCAAAAGTAGAATAGGATAAATCCCACTAGAATAAGAATATCTCAAACACCAATCAAATAAAACTGTATTCCTAGAATAACTATATTTAAGCATCCTATAAATACCTCTAGGATCAACCTAAGGAGGTAGATTATTTGTCCACCATCATTCTCCCTCTATTGTAAACACTCTCTATCAATAAAGATCTTGGTCTCGCACCTTCTACTCTATTTTTACGGTTAACATTTGGCGCCCACCATGGGGTCGAGTTCTTTTTGATCCACGAATACCACATGGAAAATTCAAAAAATTCATCACCTCCTAGCAGAAGCACCCCACGTTCCAGAAGCAAAGCTAGGATGAGCAACTCCTCTTCATCAAGCACAAATCCAAGAGATACTATCAACAAAGCCAAACCATCAGACTCAACGGTGGCATCACAAATACAGAAACTTACACAAGGCATGGAAGAAACAAGGCAAAGTCTAAAAGCAATCGAACGGGCCGTAGCATCTATGACAAAGGCTACTAATACCTCGTCACAAGAAGCTAAACGAGAACGCTTATCACGAAGTGACGCCAGGACACTTGAAGGGAAGGAGCAAGATTCAGCACAAGGAAACAACAATCAAGATGAAAGCTACGTACCTTTAAGATCGACAGAGGTGACAATCGACACGAGCTTACAACCATCCTCAGCTTTCACTCAATACAATTTTTGGAGTAAAAACATGATACCTCATACACATTGAAACCAAAGGAAGGCTAGCCAACAAATTCAAGAAGCCACACTCACGGCAGCAAGTCCATAAAAGACAAAAACATAGTTTCATGATGACGGTGTTTACAAAGAAATTGAGGTGTTGCGACAACATCTGGCAAAGATAAAAGCAGGCAGGCAGAGGTATGTAGAACCACCACACACAGCTTCAGTAGAAAAAGCCTTTATAGACGACATCATCAGGGAACCTGTGCCATCAAACTTCAAAACTCCGCAGCTAATTGAGTACGATGAAACTCAAGACCTAGTGGAGCACGTGCAAGGATATAGAATGGCAATGATAGTATATGGAGCCTCGAATGCCCTATTATGCAAGCAGTTCCTAGCAACTTTCAGGAAAGCTGTGCAGGCTTGGTTCGCAACATTACCAGAAAAATCTATCCAGACCTTTGATCAATTTGCGAACATGTTCATCAATCATTTCACTACCAGCAAAGCTCCCCGAAAGACCAACCATCAACTCCTAACAATTAAACAAAAAACAGGAGTCACTAAGAGCCTACATAGCAAGATTTCACAACGAAGCTGTGCAAGTAGAACGATTGGACCCAAGCGTGGCAATGCATGCTCTAATGGATGGACTTAAAGACTCAAGTTTCTATAGATCTCTAAACAAGCGAGAAGCCACCAGCCTTAATGATCTCTTAAGAAGGGCGGAAGGATACATCAGAGCAGAAGAAAGGGCAGCAGTAAAAGAAGCACAAGAAATATCAAATTTAGAAGACAGAAGAAGGAAGAAAGCGAAAAATAGAAAAAGATATAGATAATAAAAATACCAAAGACAGAAAACAGTCAAGATACAACCTGAGAGATAGACACCCCTGGACACAGAGAGAATTTGTGGGGCCAAAGCCCCTATTTACACCCTCCATTTATTTTTTTTCGCGGTCAACACCTTTCAGAATTTTTCCTCCCTATTCACACCTTTCACTTTTCAAAACCCGTAAAAAACTCAACATTTTAACGCGCCGTTACGGTACCGTTACAAAATGTATTACGTGGCACTCAAAAATTGACGTGGCCATTATATGCCGTTAGTAATCCAACGTGGATGCTTTTTTTGATGATGTGGTTTACTTAAATAAAAAAATAAAAAAATTTGCTCTGGGTTCCTTCTGAGGAACCCGATCTGGGTTCCTTCGGAGGAACCCGAGCTGGGTTCCTCGTCGTGAGGAACCCAGCTCTGGGTTCGGCGAGGAACCTGAGCTGGGTTCCTCCGAAGGAACCCGATCTGGGTTCCTCGGGAGGAACCCAGCTCAAACTCAGATCGGGTTCCTCACCCAGATCCACCATCCCAGCTTCTCACCCTCAGCTCTACTCTTTCAATTCAGGTACCTTTCAGTTCAATCTAAAGATATTTTGGGATTTTTCTTTTTCTTCCTTTATTGTTTTGGTTATGAATTCGCTGTTTTCAAGTTAATTTACGATAGGATAAATTTAGGATCTTGAAAGTCAACATCTTTTAATCTCTTTCTCCTCCTAACATCGTCGCCGCTGCCGCAGCGGTAGCAAATTCCGGTACTTCATTTTGGTTGCAAAGTCGGGTTATTTTATCTTTCTTTGATTAGTTTTATTTCCTATGTCGTGTTGGATTTGTTCTACCATGACAATTGGCATAAGGAAAGTTGTTTATTGTGTGTAATGTGTTGGAATTATCCAATAATGGTTTGAAGAGTAATTAGGACGTATGCTTAGCTAAGAAGTGTTTTTTTTTTTTTTCTGCTTTAAGCGGTAGTAAGCTCTCTTATTTTGTTTCTGTTTGTTTTTGGTGAGGAGAACTTCCGATTTGCTTAACTTCCGATCAGCTCGAACCCAGATCGGGTTCCTCCGGAGGAACCCAGCTTGAACCCGATCTGGGTTCCTCACGACGAGGAACCCCCCTAAATTTTTTTTTTTGGTGGGGACGCAGGGACAAGCGGGAAAAGTCCTGTGCAGTGGGCCCCACTGCACATGTGGTGTCCACGTGTGCAAAAAAAAAAGCCACATCATCAAAAAGCAGATCCACATCTGAACATAACGAATAAGGAAACGCCGCATGTGCCACGTCAATTTTTGGGTGCCACGTCGTGTACTTTTAACGGTGCCGTAACGGTCCGTTAAAATATTGAGTTTTTCACGGGTTTTGAAAAATGGAAAGTGTGAATAGGGAGGAAAAATTCTGAAAGGTGTTGACCACGGAAAAAAAATAAATGGAGGGTGCAAATAGGGGCTTTGGCCAATTTGTGGGATATACAACGCTCACACCTTTAAACACCAGTAGGACAGAGGTCTTCAACGTAGCAAAGAAAACAGAGAAGCTATAATGGTCAGCAAGAATGGCGAGTAACCCAACTAGAAGAGATCAGACACGATTCTGCGCCTTTCATGGAGAACATGGACACGATACAGAGGAATGCAAACAACTGAAAATAGAAATTGAGAGGTTAATAAGACGAGGAGCACTCCGGCAATTCGTTAAAACAAACGACAGTAGCAGAAATAGGAAAGATCGGCACAAAAAGCCTGGAGAGAAAGAGAAAGAAGAAGAACAGCCACTGGAAGTTGTAGGGACCATTAACATCATAAGCTTACCGTTTGAAGTACGCAGCAAAGAAAGAACCTCGCCAGTAACACTGGAAGCAAAGAATTCTTTAAGAAAAAGCGAGGTAATCAGCTTCACAAAAAAAGACCTGCAACAAAGGGAAGTCTATCCTCATGAACCCTTAATGATACAAGTAATAGTTGAAGACAGAAACCTCCGACAAGGAAAAATATTAAAAAGAATATTAGTAGACACAGGGAGTTGCAGAGATATACTTACACATGAAGTTTTCAAAAAGTTGGGATTCTCAGCACAACTTATGAGACCCTGTGAATTGCCGTTAGTAGGACTGTCTGGAAGGGAGGTACCAGTAGTGGGAATCATCACAATACCCATCCATGTTGGCGATACCGCTCAAAAAGATGTGGTAACTTTGGATTTCTTTGTCATAGACATACCATGCTCTTTTAACGCAATCTTAGGCAGACTAGGATTAAATGCATTACAAGCAGTAATCTCTACAAGCCACATGATGATCAAATTTCCTACGCTAAAAGGTATTGGAGTGGCAAGAGGAAGGTCCGCAGAAATTCAGGAAACTGTCACAGCACAGGTCTCTAAACAATCAGAAATTCAGAAACTGCGACCCAAGTCCTGAGCTTGGGATCTAATTGCAACAGGTGATATCGGGAGAAGAAGAGCATTGACAGTAGATACAATGGATGCACGAGAAGGTATAAACGAACAATGAGCAGAGCCCATTGATCGCACCGAATCCGTGGTACTCAGCTCAAAAAATCCAGACAAAACAACGAGCGTAGGAGCAGATATGGATCCAGAATTTACCGCAAAACTAGAAGAATACTTAAGAAGGCATGAAGGTATATTTGCAGGAAGCGCAGCTGACATGCCCATAATAGACCCTGAAGTTGCATGCCATAGGCTCGGGGTACCCCCAGAAGCTGTGCCAGTTAGGCAAAAGATGAGACAATTTGGAGCCGAAAGAACCGCAACTATAAAGGAAGAAATAGAGAAATTAAAAGAAGCAGGATTTATAAAAGAAATAAACTTCTGTGAGTGGTTATCTAACGTCGTCATGGTAAAAAAAGCAAATGGAAAAATGGCGCATGTGCATTGATTTCACTGACCTTAATAAGGTGTGCCCCAAGGACAACTATGCATTGCCTAACATAGATGAATTAGTGGACAACTCCTTCGGATATGAAGTACTCAGTTTCTGTGACGCCTATTCAGGATACAACCAAATCCCACTTGCAGAAGAGGATCAAGACAAAACAGCTTTCATCGCAGTAGGAGAAACATACTGCTACATAGTGATGCCATTCGGCCTAAAAAACGCAGGAGCAACATACCAGCATTTCGCAAACAAAATCTTTGTGTTGTTGAAAGAAAAGTGCGTAGAAGTATATGTCGATGACTTGATAATAAAAAGCAGAAGTCTAGATCAGCATCTTGAAGACTTAGAGCAAGTTTTCAACATACTACAGGAATATGGCATGAAATTAAATCCTCTAAAATGTACGTTCGGGGTAAAGGCGGGAAAATTCTTAGGCTTCATGCTAACCAGCAGAGGTATTGAAGCAAATCCAGAAAAAGTGCGTGCAATAATAGAAATGAAACCCCCAGCTTCAATAAAAGAAGTACAGCACCTTATGGGAAAAATTGTGGCATTAGGAAGATTTTTGTCAAAATCTGCAGAAAGGTGCTTGCCCATCTTTAAAATCTTGCGAGGAAAGAAAAACTTTGAATGGACACGAGACTGCCAGAGAGCTTTTGAACAATTGAAAGCATACCTGGCATCTCCACCTTTAATTAGCAAACCTAGCCTCGGAGAAACATTATTCCTATACATAGCGGCAACAACAGAAGTAGTTAGCGCAGCTTTAATCAGGCAAGAATAAAAAAGGCAAAGACCTGTGTACTTCGTAAGCAAAGTACTGCAAAAGCCAGAAAAAAGGTACGCACCTTTAGAAAAGCTAGCACATGCAATAATCATAACAGCCAGAAGACTAAGATATTACTTTCTGGGGCACAAGATTACAATCCTCACCAATTATCCATTGAGGCATGTATTACACAAACCAGACTTAGTAGGAAGGCTGGTAAAATGGAGCATTGAGCTTACAGAATTTGATGTGGAATTCCAGCCACGAAAAGCTACGAAAGCTCAGGTTTTGGCGAACTTCATAGTATAACTGAGTAAGGAAGAAAAAGTTGCGCTTGACACACCTTTACCAACACCCCCAGCAAAGCGACAATCATCAGAAATAGAAGAAGAGCAAGCAAGGGCAATTCCACCAGATCTTTGCTGGGTCCTCCATGTTGATGGATAATCAAGTGAGAACGGGAGTGGCGCAGGAATCATACTGACATCACCAGAAGGAGAAACCTTCGAATACGCACTAAAGTTTACGTTTGAGGCATCCAACAATAGAGCAGAGTACGAGGCTCTGCTAGGTGGACTTTGGTTAGCAAAAGCTGTGAATGTAGAATACATCAAAATATTTAGTGATTCACAGTTAGTCGTAAACCAAGTAAAAGGAGATTTCAATGCTCAGGAAACAATAATGACAAAATACCTGGAAAAAGTTGCGCAACTCCTTAAACTGTTCAAAGGATACGAAATGCACCACATAAAAAGAACCAAAACCTCAAAAGTTGATGCACTGGCCAGACTAGCAAGTTTAGGAGTCACAGAATCGGGAAAAGAGATATACGTTGAAGAACTGAGCTCCCCCTCAATATCTGAAGAAGAAATCCTAGAGATAGAAGAAGAAGAAGTAACCTGGATGAATCCAATCAAAAGATACCTCTTTAATGGAGATTTACCTGAAGACAAGAAAGAAGCACAGAAGCTGAAAAAAAAAGCAGCGTGGTATACCATCCTTGGTGATCATCTCTATCAAAGATCATACACACACCCATGGCTCAAATGTCTGACACCCAACGAAGCAAAAACCGTAATGGAAGAAATTCACGAAGGAGAATGCTCCAACCACATAGGAGCAGAATCACTATCATACAAAATCCTCCGCCAGGGATATTTTTGGCCAACCATGAAGATGGATACAAGGGAATACATCAAGAGATGTGACAAATGCCAAAGATTCGCTCGAATACAACACCAACCGTCAAATCCTCTGCATTTGGTAACAGCTCCATGGCCCTTCGCAAAATGGGGGATGGACATCCTTGGGCCCTTCCTAGAAGCAAAAGGAAAAAAGAAGTACCTTATAGTTGCAATAGACTACTTCACGAAATGGGTGGAAGCTGAGGCAGTGGCCAAAATAACATAACAGAAAATAGAAGAGTTTGTAAAGATATGCATCATATGCAAGTTTGGAACACCAAAAATCCTGGTCATGGACAATGGGACCCAGTTCGCAAGTGAATCTTTCAAAGAATTTTTTCAAGCACAGAATCTGGAAAGACGATTCACAATCAAAGCTCAGCTAGAAAACAAAGGAAAAACACCAGAGCAAATTGAGCAGAGATTTGCTTCAGTAGCTTACCCAGAATCAAACGGACAGGTAAAAGCCACCAACAGAATCATATTAGATAGCCTGAAAAAGAAGGTAGGGAAGGCAAAGGGCGCATGGACAGAAGAACTACCGTACACATTATGGGCCTACAGAACCATGTACCGCACATCCACCGGTGAGACCCCATTCAATTTAACATATGGAACAAAAGCAGTGATTCCAGTAGAAACCAGAATTTCAATGCACAGAACCAGCCATTACAACGAACACAAAAACAGAGAGACTTTAAGAGCCAACATGGATTTACTAGAAGAAGTTAGGGACTTATCACAAATACGAATGGCAAGTTACCATAGAAAAGCAGAAAAATATTACAACCGCAAGGTAAAACCCAAAAACCTATGCAAAGGAGATTGGGTACTAAGAAGAGCAAAGGTCTCAAAAAGAAATCCCCGAGAAGGAAAGCTACGCTTAAGTTGGGAAGGACCATACCTCATTAAGGAAGATTTAGGCAACAGAGCCTTCAAGCTGATACACTCCAATGGAGCAATAATCCCACTGACCTGGAATGCTGCGCACCTTAAAAAATACCACCAGTAAGCAAAGGAAAGTAATCTTGTAAAACACTCCCCATCAATATTGCGACTTTCATCTGAATAAAATGATAAATTTAGCAAAAGCCAGATAAAACAAAAATGTGCTTAGACAAACAATAAAGCTGCGAACAAGTTTGGATGTACATAAATATCCAAGCAAAAGTTACGCAGGCAAAAATAAAGTTGCGAGCAAGTTTGGATGTACATAAATATCCAAGCAAAAGTTATGCAAGTGAAAAAGAAGTTGTGAGCAAGTTTGGGTGTACATTAAATACCCAAGCAGAAGTTACACAGACAAGCAATAAAGTTGTGAGCAAGTTTGGACGTACATAAATATCCAAGCAAAAGTTACGCAAGCGAAAAAGAAGGTATGAGCAAGTTTGGGTGTACATTAAATATCCAAGCAGAAGTTACACAAACAAACAATAAAGCTGCGAGCAAGTTTGGATGTACATAAATATCCAAGCAAAAGTTACGCAAGCAAAAATAAAGCTGCGAGCAAGTATGGATGTACACAAATATCCAAACAAAAGTTACGCAAACTTGGGTATACATAAATACCCAAATAAAAGCCACGCAAGATGCACCACAAAGGATAAGACAAATCTCAGAAAATAAGAAAACATATTTTCCATGTATATATAGTCTTGATAAAAAGCACAAAACAAGGCAAGACGAAAACCAAGTCCACAAACAAAAAGAAAGGTATAATATCCACAGCTCTCGGGCTCGCTACATAGGCGGAGAAGGGGAGGCACCCTGTGAAACCTCCGCATCAACAGAGCTACCCCTGCTACACACAGCTGTGGCAGAATCTCCCACATCCCAGGAGCTACCAGTACCTTCAGACACCTACCTAGGAGAATCATCCAGAAAAACAGCACTAGGACCCCGATCATAAGTTCTCTTCAAATTTGGATCAGCATGAATCAAGGCAACAACGTCCATATCCTCAAACTCAGCAAGACGATCAGACACAATCAGCCCACGACGAGGAAGCAGCATCTTGATAAGCTTGACAGCAAGATTAAAATAACCCAAACTGCTAGAAAGAGCGAAAGCTTTACCTTCTGGAGACTCCTTAAAAGACTGAACGATGGAAGAAGACGAAGCTTGTAGGGAGGAAAGCTGCACCTTCAGATCCGAGGCGGACCTCTCCAAAGCAGAATTCGTAGAAAAAAGATCACCCAACTGCCGTTGCAAAGCCAAAACAGAGGACTCCAAAGACGCTTTTTCAACAGCAGCAGAAGAAGAGAAAAGTTCTTTCTCTTTCTTCAACAAATCATAACATTCTTGGAGCATAGTTAGCTCTTTCTTCAACCTCTCAACCTCGATAAAATTAGCTCCCAATGTTGTTTTCTCATAATGAAGCTGGCGGCACAAGTTCAAAAGATCTTTACTCCTCTCCCGCATCTCAGACAAATCAGCAGCAGCACGATAGGAGGAATCTTCCTTATCTAGGAGAATTTCCTTCATATGCTGTAGTACAGCACAAATCTAAAACACAAGAGCAAAGAAAGACATTAAAAATAAAACAGCAAAAACCAACCACAAAAAAGAAGGAAAAACACGTACACTAGCAGAATGTTGAACGGCCATGTCATGGAGGGCCTCCAAAGGAAAATTTGAAAGCAATTTTTTGTCACCAGCCAACAGCATGGATTTAGAAGATTCACGGGCAATGGAACTATGCCCAATAATGGAAGGACCCTCTAAGCAGACATCATAACCTGCACAAGAAGGAAGGAAACAATAAACCAACAGAGAGAAGAAATTAATATGAGGGCAATAAAGAAAAAAGACATACTGGGACAGATGACATCTTTCAAAGGCAACCTCATCAGAGGTTTAGAAAAACTCTTCCCAGCAATAAAATCCATAAAAGAAGAAATCAAGAGCCTCCCCTCTGAAGAGAACTGTTGCAACTCATCATCAGGGAAAACAAAGGAAACAGGAACCTCCTTATCAACCTCAATAACACCACCTTCCACCACACCCTTATCAGAACCACCCGCGGAAGCTGCTTTAAAAGAAGCACTTTTCAATCTCTTAGACCTCCTCACAGCTAAAGGCGCCCCTTGAGAAACAGCCCCCTTAGACTTACTAGCAGCCTTCTCAACTTTCTCAGCCAATACTTTCTCGATCTTCACAGCTTTATCAACCCTCTCAAGTTTTTCAATCTTGGCAGAACAACTCAAAATAGCTAAGGTATTTATGCCACCTAAAACATACAAAAGAAATGTAACTAGAAGAGAAAAACAAGAAAATATCAAGGAGAGCCAAGCAGAAAGAAGAAAGAATACCAACAGAACCAAGAAGAGAGCTAGGACTCCCTTCACCAGACTTCCGTTTTAAGGAACGTTCAGGCTTCGGAGAGGCCTCAAAACCAGAAGGAACAAAAGGAATAGGAAAAGCAGAGTAAGAGTCACAGGAACCAGGAACCCAAACACCCGCCTCAATCAAATTTTCACAAACAATCAACTCTGCAATACTCACAGATGGTTCAGTAACAAACTTATGGACAGCCTTATAATCATCTACCGAAAGCAAAACCTCAACAATAGTAGTATGAGGGACCCGCCAGAGAGAAGGAAAATCAACATCCTTAGGGGCACTCAAAAAGAAAAACTTCTTATGCCAATTATTGGAATCATAACCAGGCAAAGGGTCCACAAAAACAGTATTACCCCGGCGACGTTTTTTATCATCCACACCTTGAAACTCTAATACTCTACGAGAAAAATAATACCAACTACCAGTGGGCTCAGCAGTTTTTAAGTGAAAAAAGAAACAAAAAAGCTCACAGGTAAGTGTAATCCTGAGAAGGAAACATCTCACAATAAAAGCAACAATATAAGCAATAGCACGAGGAGCCAATTGGGGAAGGCCAATGGAGAATTCATCACAAATCTCAAGGAAAAAAGGATGCAAAGGAAAACGCAACCCACATGCAAATTGGTCCTTATATACACACATATCAGGAGGAAGGCATTGAAATGCCACACGGCCCATCGGATGTTGAGGAAGGAAAACCTGCGGATCTATCAAGTTCTTTCTATAAATCTCCCTAATCTCATCCACATCACAACTACTAGTAACCCAAGACACTTTATCAAGATCACAGAACACCTTCGTCGACCCTAGAGGAAGAACAACCTTTCCACCCTTTGAAGACAAAACCAAAGGAACCTCTGTGGGAATGGAAGGAACCACAGGATCCCTCTCCACATGGCGTAAAGCACCCTTCACAACAAACTTCCCATCCGCATTAAGGGGAAGGCAGAAAATATCAAAGAACTCCGGCTCAAAAGAAGAGGGAAGGACACCCGCGTCATCAACGGAAGAGCCACCAGAGGCAGAGACCGGAACAGAGCCGGAAGCAAAAGACGGAACAAAGCCGAAAGCAGAGGACGGAACAAAGCCGGAAGCAGAGATCAGAACAAAGCCGGAGGTAATGACCAGAATAGAGCCAGAAGCCGTGACCAGATCAGAGCCAGAAGCCGTGACTGGATCAGAGCCAGAAGCCGTGACCGGAACAGAACCAGAAGCAATGACCAGAATGGAGCCGATAGCAGAAGCCGGAATAAAACCGAAAACAGAGAGATTAACGGCCATCACAAGATAACCGGCCAAGATCAAGCCACAAGATCAAAGAAATTTTCCCCAAACAGAAGAAAACAAAGAAGAAAAGGAAGAATCAAGAGAAAACAAAAAGAAATCAAAAGGAAGTCAAACAAAAAGGAAAGGAAGAATCGGGAAACTCAAAAGAAAACCCCATCTAGCCAAAAAGGATAAATTGCATAAAATCCCAAGAAAATAGGGGTTTGAACCAAATGGGGGCGGCCGTACCAAAAAGCCATACAACAAGGGCCACATACATAAAGTTGCTGCCAAAAAGTAGAAAAATTCGAGAAATGCAGCCGTTAAAATATGGAAAAAATCAAGAAAGGACCTGAACAAATCTACAGAGTAATTAATTTCAAACAAAAACTTTTAATAAGGAAACTGCGCCAAGAATCACAAAGGAAAAACCTGTGCTGCACTCTTTTTTCCTTAAACTAGATTTTTATCCCACAGGGTTTTTTCTAGTTAAGGTTTTTAACGAGGCAGTCATGGTTAAAAAATGGGAACCAGCGCAGAATTCAAAACCAAGAATTAGCAGATCAATGAAAAAGACAGACAATTGTTGAAGTTTTCGCTATCCTCAAAACTTCTTTGTTGGAGGGCAAATGTTATACCCTAAAACAAGTCCTATGATAATTAGGACATGTGGAGGCATTCTAGAGATAATCATATCAAAAGTAGAATAGGATAAATCCCACTAGAATAAGAATATCTCAAACACCAATCAAATAAAACTGTATTCCTAGAATAACTATATTTAAGCATCATATAAATACCTCTAGGATCAACCTAAGGAGGTAGATTATTTTCCACCATCATTCTCCCTCTATTGTAAACACTCTCTATCAATAAAGATCTTGGTCTCACACCTTCTACTCTATTTTTACGGTTAACATTATCATAAAAAGTATATCATTAACATATTCAAGAAAAAGGACAACACAAACCAAAAAATATTAAACTTCTAACTTTAAAAGTTAAGGTAGTGGTTTTGGCTACGTATTCATTTGTTAGGCTACAAAATTTGTTCAATTTTTATAAATTTGATAATTAAAAATATTTAATAATTAATAAAATAGTTAATATTTATTATTTAATAAATTAAAATTAATTTATGTATAGATATTTTTAGATATCATAACTATTTAACAAAAAATTATAAATTAATAAAAAAAATTATGTGACCATAATAATTGACGATGTGAGCAAAATCATATTAAAAAATTAAACTCTACTTTCAAGGCGACACATTAAAATTGTTTACAAATTTAAGGGATTCAAACCAATAATATTCTCACATGTTCGAATGACTCTTACCTACTTGAGCATATTTCAATAAATGGATTTGAGAATCCTTGTACTTACATAATAAAATTCATTTGTTTTTTTTTTAACCAAAAAAAAAAAAAAAACTTGAGCAGATTTCAATCAGTTCCACTGGTGAAGAAGCTGATACTACGTACTTCAACTTCATAGATGATTAGACCCTTCAATTTTTAGTGTACAATTTTCAATGTGTGTAATGTAGCAAACTAAGAAATAAATAAAACCACACCTATATAATGTCAAATTCAAAGAGCAGAGTGAGCAGTTGAAATGGCTGCCTGCATACACCATATGTACTAGATACGAAATCATGCAAAATATTAAATCGAAGAAATTGTTTATTTCTCATAAATTGGTGAATGAAAATTATATATGAATTAGATATTGCCATAGGTAGTAATTATAGTATTGACAACATATAACACTTTATTGTTGAAAAATTTGAAATTAGAGAATCCTGATTTATATTTTCACTTCCTTCATTCTCAAAAAAATATAGGTTGTCCACAATTTTGAGGTTTCATGAGAAAATTGGGTTAGGTTATAGTAGCTAGGGTTGGGTACGGTTTGGTCTAATCGAAATCAATATCTGAACTATTTGGTTTTTTTTTTTTTCATTTTTTAGTAACAAAAATCGAGCCAAAAGTGTTTATAAATGTTGGGTTTGATGACCAAAATAGTCGATTTTAATATTTTGGTTATAAGTTATAATCAAATTAACATTAAATATTTATTTCAAGTTTAACAATAAATATACTTACAAAAATTTACAATTTTTAAGGAATATAAATACAACAAAATGCCAAAAAGATGGATAAATGAGAGTAAAATATGAATTTTGAATTTTTTTTTTTTTACTTTTAGATATATTTTAAATTTAAATACTAAATTATAACAAAATTTATAAGGTAAAACTTGAAAATGAGATTAAAAAGATGGTTTTTATATTTATTTATAATATTCAAATAATTATTATTTATTTATTAATATAAAATTTTATTTTAGGTCATATATATGGTTTCAGTTTTTTAACTCTCTAATTATTAATTGACCAAAATTTTTAATTGTTCAATTAGAATTGAAAAAAAAAAGAAGAAAAAAGATAACCATTTGTATTTAACCATTTAATTAATTTTTTTTTATCAATTTTTAATTACCCATTTAGTTATCCAATTGTTTACCCAACCCCTAACCTCACTAGTAATTGAGCAATAGGAGGCAAAATAGAACATTAGAATTTAAGACATTGAAAGGGTGATTAGTTATAGAATTTTTTTTGGGGCTTGAGCGTAAAGCCCCAGTTTACTCTTTTCATTTGGGCTTCAACTCCATCAAATATTTTTATTGACAATTTACGATTGACTTAAATATTTTTATTTAAAGTGTGGGTTGGAGTTTGGATTGAATACTTTAAATTTATTAGATGAGAATTGATTTGGTTTTTTTGATATTGAGAGTTGTTTTCCTTTTCTAATGCCTTTTATGCTTGCTATTTGAATTGCAAAGGTTTAATTCCCATTTTGGTCCCTTAACTTTGCAATTTTGCCTTGATTTGGTCCCTCAATTGAATTTTGAACTTTTTTCATCTTAATTCATTAACGTTGCACCAAAATGGTCCCTCCATTAACGACTTGCTAACATTGTACGATAAGCTAACAGAAAACCTCATTGCAGCTATAGAAGGCCACCGTTCCCCTAGTTTTTTCATGCACTAAGAGAGATGCATTAAACAATTGTTGGTATTAATTGTTTAAAAGCAATTGTTTGTTTTAATCAATTGAATACCACTTTTTTTTAGTACATTTGATAATAAGTTATATAGGAAGAGATAGTCTCTTTCTTTTCTTAAATTCCTCCCTACTCCACTCAAAGTTCAAATATGAGGTCTTTAACTCGGTATTTTAGGTTAACTAGTTAAACCACCACTTTGGAGTATTAGTTGAATACCTCTTGTCTAACAATAAAATTTTGTTTTTCCATTCAAAACAAAAAAAAAAAAAAAAAATGTTTTAAAGCAAATCTTTATGCAATTTGAAAAAGAAGGCCTAACTACAACATTGATTAAGGCCCAATCTTCACTATTTCATTCATGGCTCATCAAACATTACAACCCAAATTCTAGTATACTTAGGCCCTCAATCCAATCCAAATACGTCAATAGTCAAAGGCTACTAATAACAACAAAAATTTCCCCTCGAATTTTGGATCTTCTTCTCTACTCCTCTGTAAAAGTCAAAACCACCTTTACCATTAACCTAGAAATTGTAATTAACAATTTTTCCTTTATCACATTATCCATATAGGTGATTTACTGTGAGTATTATTATTTGTTGAATTTTGATGTTTTATTTGTAACTCAGTAGTATTTTATTGAACAATAAAATGAACTTCTTTTAAATTTAAAACTAATTAATTATATAAAATAAATTATTTATACATAGTGAGATTTGTTTAAACTATAAAACGTTAGGTACCATAATAATCATGAAATTATTGCATTAACCATTATTATTATAATCCAATAATATATCATGTAAATATAATATTGACTAATAGTACTTTTTTTTTTTGGAAGATAAATTTTATATTATTAAGTGAATATAGAGGGTACTTTAACGCTTACATGAGATAGACATACAGAAGAAAAAAAATGAACTATATCACTATCTCTATTTTTCCTCCCTAACTATCTTCTAGTCATTTTACAATCTATATAAGCTAACTTGAAATCATTGTCTCACTTGAAAGTGATAACCCAACTTATGTATTCTTCTTATCCAGGGCTTTCAATTTGACTGTCCATAAGATTTTGTAGCCAATTTGTAAAGCTAAATTGACAACCTTTGCTCCTTGCCTTTGACCAATGAAAAGTTTTACTTGAATGCTTTCAAAAGATTTTCTCCACATAACAAAGACAACTTGTTATAGAGAAATTAATAGTGGTGAGCCTATAATTCTATCTACTAGTTAGGGTTAAATTACATTTTCTTGCTAAGGTTTTTCTCTCCTCTTGATAGAAGCCTCCTCCTTTTTCTTCCTTTTTCTTTCTTCCCTTAATTTCCTTCACAATATCAGAACAAAAGGCTGTGGCTTCAGCCCTTAGCTTGCCATCAAGTTTTGCCATCCCTTTGTGAGCAATAGGCCTAATTTCTTTCTTATCCTGGTGGAGGTATCATCAACAGTGGTGGGAAAATATGGGGAGGCTTGTGGCCTCTCCTAGAAAGGCAAAAAAGGATCTAGGCTACCTTCTTGACCAGATTAGGTTAGCTAAGGAGGAAAAATCTGAACTTTCCCTAGAAAGTGATTGGAATGACTCATTTGTCTCCTCTAAATCTCTTTGTTTGATTGGGAAGGTACATACTCACAAGATGGTCAATCTCACTAGATTGCAAAGTACAATTGCATTGTCATGTAAAGCAAGATCTAGTGTTCATATTAGAGAGATTGGCGAGAAGATTTTCTTATTTCAATTCGCAAATAGCTATGATTTGGATCAAATTTGGCCAAAAGTGCCATGAAATTTTACTTGATCATTGATTATTATACAATTGTTTGACAAGTTTATAGCTTTGGAAAATTTTATATGACTTCTTATAGCCTTCATTTTGTGTTCAGTTTTTCAACTTGCCTCGTGGAGAGTCTAAATTTTCCTAAAGGTGGGTAGCCTTTTAAGGCATTTCAAAAATGTTAAAGTCTCAACTATAGAAACTAAGAAATTGAGGATTAAATACAAACAACTGCCAAACTTTTGTTTCATTTGTGGCTGTATAAGACATGTTATTTCTATTTGTAAGATTAGTTTCAAGCTTAAGGAGTGCAAGAGATAAAGTTTCTCAACCTTATGGAACTTGGTTAAGGGCAACATTGGAGAATTATTAGGGGCTAGAAGTGTTTGAGGAAATTGTCCTTTTAGATAGCAGGTTGACGGCATCACTTGTGGCCAAGAAATTTGAGAGTCTTGGTTAGCAAAATACTTTCTTATTGGTGATTGAATCCTCTACTAGTAGAAAAGATTATTGAGAGACTAGAATTACTAAGGAGTCATTGTTCATTGAGATTTAGTCTAATTTGCATTGGCAAATGGGTAATATAGAATAGTAGGTGATAAAGGAATAAAGAACAAAACAAGTTGAAGGACCTTTGGAGTAATAAGCATCTAGCTCTCTCTTAGGAGACGTACCCCTTCAGCAATTAACAAGAATTGTTAAGAAGGGAGAACACAAATCGCTAGAAACTTGGAAGAGATTTATACATGGTTTGCCAATATCCTCTAGCAAGAATAAGGAGGGTAAGGGGAAAAAAATTCTACCTTGATTGATTTAGCAGGTAGTAAAGCAACAAAAGTAATGTTGGATAGCTCAGACACTATTGCTCCTACCATGTAGATGTATGGAAAGGCCAAAAACTAAGGCCTTGGTAGAGCATTGTAGTGATGGGAGACACTACATTTCCATGCATTTTACTCTCCTATACTAGGAATGGATGGTACAAATGGATGTGGCTTCCTAACAACAATGAGAAACCCCTAGAATACCTTATCTATTCCTCATTGCTTTATTGATACCCCCATGACATATACTGAAAGGGAGCTCCCATGTTTGCTATTTAGTAGGCATGCCATCTCAAATCTGTAGTTAGCAACTATGTGAATTCCTAATAGTTGACTCTTTTTATAGTTTACTTTCAACCTTGATACTAATTTGAATGTTCTCATATTATGCATTTTGTTGCCTATTTGTTTTCTTGAGTATAAGTGTATCATGTGCAAATAGCAGATGAGATACCTTCAACCCATTTCTAAGAGCCTCCACTCCTTCAAACAACCCTTCTAAAAAAATTGTAATATTATGCCATTTAACCCCTCTACAACTATTAAAATAAAGAAGGGAGATAAAAGATCTCTCCATGTTAGGCTACAACTGACACTGAATTGCATAATTGTGCTTTTGTTTTTCAGGACTAATATAATTGTTACGCGACATGTTGACTTGTTTATTAAAAAACTTCACCCAGCCAACCTAGTTGGAATAATTAACTCTTTAGATGAGATAATTGGATCTTAATTTTCGGGTTTTCAACAGAGCAAAAGATGGACTTTGATGGAGTGGAAAAATGGGAGTTAAATATATGGTTATGGAAGTGGCATAAACGACAGTAACGAAATGAGAAATCAATTTAGTGTAGTTGGTCCAACCAAGCATGCATACATATATGAATGACCTAAAGATTTCCATGACATGTGAGATTAGTTGCCATCAAAAAGAGAAGTTATGATAATTTAACCGTATTATAGATGTCTCATCTTTATATTACTACAACTACAAGCATTTAAGAATAGTTATCATAAGTCAAGGTCTCCCTCTTTGATTACCTTAGCATAATAAATTATTTTATGGACTTTATTATTGTTTAACTGTTGTAGAAATAATATAATAAACATGATAAAGACAAACAAGATAAAGATATGCCAAAAACAAATGCCACAAGTGCTAGTCCATGATAATTTGTGTACAATGCATCCAAACTCATTGGCTTGCAGTGTACACCCTAACAGATTCAATATGAAGTAAGCAAATTAAGAAATTAAACAGGCTAAGAGGTATAAACATATACATAAAATACGAAAAGCATAATTTGATGATGACGAGCTTCTTAATCAATATGATTTTAAGAAGGAGGGTGTTTGCATGCAGCCTTGAACATAATCTCGAAAGCGTTTACTACACTGGCTTTAAACTTCTGGGCATCAATGAAGTTCTTCTCTGCTGTCACTGCAAGCCTCAGACTTTCATTGTAACTTAAAATTCCTATGCTCAGACTCTGCAACATATATAACCATCAAGAAGTGAGAATAATGTTAATTATATATGAATCAATATCCAATTGCACATTTGTAACTCTTTACACCAATTATTTGCAATTGGCTGTTCAAATTCAACGGTTTGCCATACATTTCTAAATATAGTATTTTTATTTAGAGATCTATAGGATTTGTAAAAAAATTAAATAAAAAAAATACTCAAAACTATAATTCAATAAAATATCAAGGAAAAAAACTAAAACAACTTCATTCATGTTTTAAAAATAAGAGGCATTAGTCTTAATTTTTTTAATAAAACTTTAATAAAATGACATAATTTGGATGGATCTTTACACTTGGTCTTTTTTCTTTTTTTTGCAAGTTGACAGTTTTTTTTTTTTCATTTTATTTATAACTCTTAAATTTTAAAATCAATAATTCACATGCATTGTATACATCACTCAGTATTTAAAATTTAAAATCAATAGTTCACATACACTGTATACATCACTCAATATTTAAAATTTTAATACTCCCTCAATTTAATTTTAATGGATTTAATTTTTAATTTTAGACATTTAAATTTAGTTGTCCATTTTTTTTATAATATCATTTAATACACTTATTTCTATTTTATTATTATTTTAAAAATATAATTATAACATATATTAAATAAAGTCTTTTTTTTATCATCAAATAAAAATCTTATTTCAGTGATATTAATTAAGAATAAATATAAAATTTTATTAATTAATTATCACATATTGAATTTATTAAAATTATTAGGCCTATTAAAATCTAACAGAGAAATAACAAATAAAATATAAAAATATTAACATGCATAAGCTAAGCCTCAAGTCCACCAGCTCTACTTTTCAAACTTATTACCTGACGTTAACTTTTAATCTTGTTTCGCAATTAAAACATTTTTATTTGAATAAATAATTAAATTAAAAAAAATAAAGTAAAAAAAAATTTTCCCTCTCCTTTCTCTAATATTTTTGATGATCAAATAAAAATATTTTTCTTCTCCCCTTCAATTCCTTCAATTCAAATATAAAGTAAAATTGAAACTCTCTACACCTAATAGGCACTTCTTCGTCACTACATCCAACTCTTTAACTTAATGAAACTTAAACACTCTTGTGTGTGTCTATTAGAATTATACAGTGCAATTTTAAACCAAAATGCCTGGGATGGCAAGAATTAGTGTTGGCAATGCATTGCATGCAAATGCAATTAAACCCTCGCAATAGCATGCATATAATAATTTAATTTAATTTGAACACACCTGAGGTACACCAACCACTATAAAATACATGCCCTTAATGGTTTGATTTTCAAAGGCAACCTGCTCCATCGGTCCTATGATATTTGAGATTCCCATGCTCGAGTTCTTTATCGTTCTATATATCAGTTTAGCTACTGCCTGCACCTTGCACCGCATTCATTGATAAATTACAGTATATATATATATACATACATATATAAAAGGACAGATCAATTGACGCTAATTTAAGCATATATGTACAACTCACCTCATAGCCTCGAACTTTCCTGATAATCTCGTAAAAACATCCCATAAAATAAACAGCTGCAGATCTTCTCTTCCTCTTAATGGTTTTATGCGCTTCCCGAATAAATTCAAGAGGATCTGAGGAGATGTCAGTGTCAGATAATTTGGGGAGTGGTACATGTAAAAAGGCAAATAAGTTTCCCCAAGGAGCATCGGTGTCAGGTCTAAGCATTTCCTGCACTGACTCGTAACTTCGAATCATCCTGGTGTTTAGTAACACTAGTGCTGTTGGGTCTATCTTGTTGGACTTACCCTTGCTCACTTCCTCCATGTAGAGCCGGCTCCCAAAAAATATTATTCCAGTGATAACATCATTGATGGTCTGTCAAAAAAGACAACTGGAAGTTAGAGAAATCAAAATATCATCCTGAAAATGTAAATTAAAATTTCATATAGATATATATGGTAGTTTCAAAACTTCTAAAATTGTGTATATGAATGAAAAACTTGACAAAAGGTTACCATTAGACTCTTAAGAGCTCTAACTCAAATTATTAATAATAATTGATTTCTATATTTATATACTAATTTTTCATTTTAAGAACAAAAATTTATTTTGAAACTATAAAGGGTACCCTAACCCTTGTTACAAAATAGATATAGATGTATTTAGTCTATATTACCTTATATATTATATTTAGAGATCCCCACTTATATACCTTGTTCACACTTCTATACATCTTAATTAATATGGAATTCAAATCATAATGAGATTGGGGATATCATGGGAAGACTAAAACTTCAATTACTTAGACATGAGAAATTAAAAGTTTAAAGTCCAAAGAAATCCACTACAATCAAAAGGAATCTAAAAGCGTTTAATGTGGTGTTATTGGGAAAATGGTGAGGTAGAATAGCTTCAGAGAGAAATGGAGTTTGGAGACAAGTGCTAGAAAGAAAATATGAAGTGGATAGATTTAGTTGGGCTCATTGGTTGAATAGGGAGGGAAACTCGGGGTCTCAATGGTGGAAGAATTTATGTAGTCTAAATGGAGTGATGGAAGGAAAGGAGGGTTGGTTACAAAAGAATTTTAAGTTAGTTTTAGGTAAAGGGGAATCGGTGTCTTTTTGGAGAGATAATTGGGAGGGGAGTGGCACTCTATGTCAAAATTACCCAAATTTGTATGCTTTATTTGCAGTGAAAGAGAAAACAGTTGCTCAGATGGGATGTTGGTCAAATGACAGGTGGCATTGGAATATTAATTGAAGAAGGCAACTCTTCAAAGAGAAATCAATATCGAGTAGCAGTTTAAAGCTCTTTTCCAAGGGATTTCACCTCACCAAAACAGAGAAGACAAATGGGAATGGCAACTTGAGAAAGATGGGATTTATTCCACAAAGTCTGCGTACAAATTTCTGGCTCACAGTGACCCCCAAAGGCAAGAAGGAAATTTCAAAAGGTGATGGAATGCTTTGGTACCCAAGAAGGTATGTGCACTTATGTGGGAAATTTTATTAAATAGAGTGCCAACAAAGGATCAGATTGTTAGAGGAATCATTAATGTTGAAGAAGGTGGTCTCTATGTGTTGTGTGGAAAAAATGAGGAAACTGTTGATCATTTGTTATTAACTTGTCCTATAACTTTTAAGCTTTGGTTAAAGTACTTCGATTGGTGGGAAATAACATATGTGTTACACTCGAAATGTTGTAAAGTTTTTATGCAACACTGCTGGTCTACTGAAAGAAAATCAACTAATGTGGGATGGGAAATTGTTTGGTTTGCCTTTATTTGGTCAATATGGCTATGTAGAATGACAGAATCTTCCGGGGAACAGAGGCTGATATGGAGAACCTGCTGGGATTAATACAAACAAGGGCATACCACTGGACAACAGCAAGACTAGGAGTAGATTTGTTTCCTATATCACATTGGATAGTTAATCCCAAAGCATGTGCGAAATTGATTAAATGTAAGGGAGGGAAAGGTAGGATTTTGGGTTGAGTCTTGCAGGGTTGTAAGCTTATGCTTGATATGGTTTCCTATTACTTTGTATATGGAAACAACTAAATATAATATGTATGGAGGAGTAGGAGTACCCCTTGTACTCTATTAATAAAAATTTGCAGTTCAAAAAAAAAAAAAAAAAACTACAATCTTACCACGTTGAGGCTCGACTTGATTTGTTTAATGTCATGGAGAGAAAATGTTATCGTTGTGGTAGTAAATGGAGAAAATTCGACTCCATCATTGCCGGACCATATAGGTGATTGGTCATCCTTTATCAAAGTACTCTTTGTTATACTTTCAAAAATATCTGATATGGTATTGGAGGCTAGAGAGAAAAATTTAGAAACAGTACTAAGTAAGCTGTTCCTTTGATTCTCGATATTCCTTCTTCTTGCATTTAGTCCAAAAGAAGGAAGCGTAGGAGGAAGAGAAGGATCATCAGCTCTTTTAAGGCAAGAAAGAAGTGCCCCCATCAAGGAGAAACCATCACCAAGTGAATGGTGAAGCTTGAATATCCAGTTACCAGCTGCATTGCTTGTGGGGTATTTAAAGAAATGAATTTCCCACAAGGGACGGTTCTGAGGAAATGGTTCCATTGCTATCACTGATATGTAGTTTTCGAGGTGCTCGTCGTAAAGATTTGGTGTCAGCCCAATAGGGAAGACAGGGACTTTAACATGTTCTTCTAGGATTACCTGAACTCTCTTCCAGCGTTTCTCTCCATGTTTGCCTATAACCTGCAAGTTTACAATTTTATTGTGTTGGTTGTTTTAGTTCATATACTGCAATGCGGGCAGAATTAAACTAAGAATTAATCAAGTTAAATAAATAAGAGTTTAAGATGCAGATTTTCTTTGAAAAAGAAAAGTAAGAGAAGGTATATACAAGGAAGCATACCATGATGGAGGAGAAACGTGGGCTAATGGGTAGAAAATGTTTCCGGAGCTGCCACACAGCCTGAGAATCATCAATTGGCTCTTTTGCTTCCCAAACATTGATTATGGATATAGATAATACTGAGCTACTGAAGTATTGCCCAGCAGGACTCACTGGCTCTGATGTTAATTGTTGGTCCATCTCCATATTTTTTGGCTCCTTCTTGAGTTTGTGCAGTGTCTAAATCTGCCTAAAACTAACCTAGGTTATATATTTTCTTCCTAAGCTGCCAGCAACAGTTCTAACGCAGTCTTCTCTTGTAATTTTCTTGCAATTAAGTGGGGTTTTGTACAGTTGGTAGGAAGATGCATATCCTATTATGATCATTGACAAGGACGTCAAATTAAATTTTTTGACAGTCCCTTTGATGATGCATATAGGAAATACTTTTCATAAAATTTTTTGATAAATCATTAATAATCGAGAAAAATTGGATTGAAATCCCTGCCATATAAGCATAATAAAATGAAGCTAAATCTAGAGCACTAATATTTGATTTTACACACTATATATGTAGAGAATTAAGTATAGTAAGTCATCAATTATCAAAGATATTACATACATAATTGTTATATTAGAGCAAACAGACCTAAAAGGACTACCCTATTGTGTATTCAAAACATTGGAAAAGTACCATACGATACTTCAGCTTTTGGGGCAGACGATTTGTTAGGGATACCACCTTGACCACGTTGTTGACAATGAAAGCAAGCACTCAACCCATACCATCGAAGTCTAACTAGCCTTACATGCTCACTTTCTTCCTTCACCATGCATGGATGAAACCCAATGAAATATTTTGAGATAGCCAAGGTAGACTTCCAAAGAAGAGAGAAGCTTATAGGGAGAAAATCCCACCTTTACTGTTCCTTAACTGCCCTAGGGACAGAGGCGATAGCTAGGGGCAAAGAAAGAGCAAAAAAGAACGAAGGGGATCAGAGAGACAGATGACTATCGTTTTTTTTCTTCTACTTTTCATAAAATATTGTGATGCTAAACCATATTTCTCTAGGCTAAATATAAAATATCTAGTAATAAGTATCATCTTATAGGTTAGATTTAAGATTCAAGTTTTGGAGTTAGTAATTGAGGAAATTAATTTTATTGAATACGCTAGATCAATGTGGGGGTGTGCATTTTTAAGATTGCTCAAAGATAAATTAATTAGTCTCAAGATATATGAAAGTTGATCAAAAAACAGCTTGACTGTAAATTTTTTTTTTTTTTAAAAAAACATCTATATTTCTTTAATGTGCAATTTTTATTGAGTGTAGGATGCATTAGGATTCATTTTCTCAATTAATTGTCAAGGGTGCGTGACGCCTTTAAGGATTGCATAAGGAGTGGGGATCCTAGGCTTTTTAATTATTTTTTGATATTTTGTAAAATATCATAGTGATAGATTAAGGTGGGATTTGGATACGGACATTTGTATAATTCGTTTTCCTTGCTGTAGTTTTTTTGTGTAAGTTGTAGTTTTAGGGTTTTTGTTATGAATGTTATTTAGGATTTTTTTTTTTATCTTTATTTAGGCTTGATTTTTATGACACTTTTGTGGGTTAAATGTGATTTTATTTGATTTTAAATTACTTGTTTTGCCAGAAAATGACTCGATTATAAGAAATCATAAATCTTAAGATTGAATTGCAAAACTTTTAAAGCTTTGGGAGCAAATTGCAGAAAATTTAAATTAGGGACCAAATTATAAAAGGTAAGTATGAGTATTAAAGTATCAATCTAGTGCAAGTTGACGGACCCAAATTGAAACACTTTGTATGACATTGAGATTCCACGTAATCTTTAAATCATCTTGTTAAATCAATGTTTTGAAAACTGAACTAGAAAGTAAACCATTTTTTCCTTTGGTTTGTGATTTGAGTGATAAAAAATTTGGTCTGACCATATGTTAGCTATTTATATAATAAGTTTATAATAAATATGTAATTATGCAACATTTGTCACAAAAAGTTTGTGTAGCTCTAATGATCTATAAGATACATTCTCTGCTCTTGAGACTTCTTGTTGACAATTTTGTTTATTTGTATTTATATTATCATAAATATAATTCAAGGACAATTACAAAAAATAATTTGGATCAGATAGAAAAAGAGTTTTTTGAAATTGTTTATTTGTATTTATATTATAATAAATATATATAATTCAAGACGAATCACAAAAAATAGTTTATATCAAATGAAAAAAGGGTTTCTTGAAAGAAAGGATGGTGGGAATATAAGCTTCTAAGTTTCAACCTTTAAATTCAAAGTCTATTATAATAAATAAAATTATATGCTAGTGTTGACATTAAAGACTGGTACTCTAGTGGTAAAAGGTTGTAAAAATTCCTTTTCTTGTAATCTTCGTGCTGAGCCGGGCTTGACATTTTTTTTGAAAATTTCCTATTAAATTATTAAACCAGTCGGTTGGAGTATTCATTGGTTTGCACTATTTTAAACAGTTAAATTGTCTTACCGATTCTAATTATTTATTCAACTCGTTATTACTCTTGGGTATTTGTTTGACCGGTTCAATTATTTGGTCTGGTCCAATTTTCCAAACATTGCGTTAAATGCTACGGAACGTAAGTAAAAACAGGAGCAGCTACCAAAAAATTGCCACTTTTTTTAGTTGACCAAAAAAGAGTCCAAAATTAATTGAGGGACCATAAGGATTCACTTCAAAGTTGAGGGACCCAAAAAGTATTTAAATATCAAATTTCTAGTCATTTATGTGTAGGCACGTACAGTTGGGAGACGGAAGAAATTGATGATCACTGGTTTGTACTGGTTTGAATAATTTTGTTGGTTTTGAATGATGAAACCATGTTACTGGTTTTGGATACTTACCCAACTCATCATTGCTTTGAATATCACTTTGACTGGTTCAACCATTTGGTTTGGTTCAATTTTCAAAACATTGTGACTTGAAGGAGTGACCAAAAAAACACCACGTTTTTTGAGTTGACCAAAAAAGAGGACAAATTTGAGGGACCAAAAGGCTCCACTTCAAAATTGAGGGACCAAAAAGAATTGACCATTAAATTTCTAGCCATTCATGTGCGGGCATATATAGTTTGGTAGACGAAGAAATTGATGATATTAATTGAGGGACCACAAGGCTACACGTCAAAATTGAGGGACCAAAAATGCATTTAACCATTAAATTTCTAATCATTTATGTGCAGGCATATACAGTTGGGAGACGCAGGACTTGTTTGAAATAATGATTTTAAGGTAATAATCAGCAGTTTTTGATCAAATTTTTAAGGATAAGTATATGATAAATTTATATATTTTGAAATTATTATAAAAAAGATATTTAAAAAAAAAATTTATTTAATGGTTTGAGATTAGTGGATAATGATTAAGATGCAAACTGCTAGCGTATTGAAAAAGTCAAGTTAAGTGATTTTTTATATTAAATCATTGGTGGATTGAATATTATCTTAAAAAATAAAATTTACTAATTAGACAAAATAATTAATTTTTTATTTAAAAAAATAATATAAATTTTTTTGTTAAAAATAAAAATGA